AGCACTGTTTTGCTCAGAGAAGCGCAAAACAGTGCTGTGATCTTTGTTTGGAACTATTTTCGTTGGCAAAATTGAGCAAAAACAAGCAATATTATGTCTAAAATGTAAGTCAATTATTGCTAACTTTACTGAACTTGTATAAAATTATTATTATATTTGTTATCATGCTAATATGTGCAGAAAAACGGTACTCTGTGTGATATATTGTTAACTATATTAAATTATATAAATATAAAAAGCATACAGAAGCATTTTTACCATCTACAATTTAGAATGCCTTGCATTTTGAGTTTTAATATAGACTAATAAAATCACGTGCATGTACTCTGTGTGTGTGATTTGGCGATAGATAATGTCAGATCGCACATCACAACACTTACCATATTATCGCAGAAGATATAATGTATATCGCAGACCCCAGACTTGACTTGAGTGGGAAATTAAATCATCCGCGGTTGTGCGCGCGCTTGTTTGCACATGAGGTGTTTTTTGGAGTCTAACGGCTTTCCTGCAGTCCGTGTTCTTCTGACTTCTGACTTTATTTTGTAGTAAGTAACGAATATGCCTCGGGGAAATGTATCGGAGTAAAAGTATAAATTTTAATTAGGAAATGTAGTGGAGTAAAAGTAAAAGTTGGCTGAAATATAAAAACTCAAGTAAAGTACAGATCGATATTCCCAAAAAATACTTAAGTACTGTAACGAAGTATTATTACTTCGTTACATTACACCACTGTGTGTGTGTGTGTGTAAATTTGCGAACTTGAATACATTTCATTAACTGTAACATAGCCCTCATTCTTTCAGAAAAGATACAGTGTATTCTCTACATATAATGTGAATGAGTGTATTTATTATCTCCAGAAATGTGAACTATTCAGAGGGGCCGAGGCGCGCTGCTACAGGAGCCCACGGGTTCCATTTTTCCTCGTGGAATTTCGCGCGTCTGCGGTCAATCTCCTGAATAATTCCATCATTTGCACTCTTAATTTACACGCATTCTATGCGTTGTCCTGGCGAAATGAACGTCCTTTGATTTATTTCATCAATGAGGAGGCTGGTACTGGAGATGTGGCGTGCGGGCGTGTAGCGTCACGGGCGGTGTGTCATTCCACACAGATCGCATGTTGATCACGAAGCCGCTTGATCCGGAGCTCCGCTATCTGCGAGACGTGGCAGATTATATCATTTTAAGGCCTTTTTTCAAAGGATGCAGATGTAACCGTTTTTGTCTGGTGTAACGAAAAGTGTACTGGAAGCAGGATGTCCTTCTACGCCGTCATTATACCGGTCCTTTATGTTATTTTCTCTGCTTGGCAGGGTAAGACGATATTGTAGTTTCTTCATAGGCCTCATTGCTACAAACATGTACTTAGAAACATGCTTCTGTTTATAATGTGTTATCGTCATCAGCGAGAAAAGCATTATATTACTCAAGATGCCATGTAACAGCTCTTATCTAATGCAATTAATATATACATAGCTGCCATGTAATTAACATGGCTATAAACCAGAATATGTCATTTCTATAGCAACAGCTCTCAAACCCCTCAGATTTGTAAATTCACATGAGGCTGCGGTTGTTGTTCTTCAGCATTCTGTATAGGTAGGTCATTCACCGCAGAGCAGTAACTGAAACGTAATCCAAGAGCTGAGAACTTGAAGCAGATGGTTAGCTGACCTACATATAAGATGCTGCAACTGAAGATGAAAACAAAGATGCAATATCTGCTAAAAACTGTCTTTAGATGTTTTAAGAGGTTTTTACTTAAAATAATTGTAAGAAATGACTGAGCGGCACTTAAGTCATTATTTTTGGGTTAATTAAGTGAGCACCTCCGGATTTAAATAATCATGAATTAATGATTAATGTACTGATGAATTAATGTGCTCATAGTGCATTAATTGCCCCTCTATCTATTTAGGTTTTTGTTAATGTTCAGTATTAACATTTAAATGTGTGTGTGTATACATTCAATTTATTATGTAATAACAGATTACAATATGTGTTTTATTTATTAATGCATATTACATGATTACTAAATGTTCCCGTTCCTCAAATATTATATTAAAATTTATAATGAAACCATTTTTTACCAGATTTTTTTAATGTTAATGCTGTTAATTTGTAGGCCAACCTACAATTATTATATTATTTTATTTTATTTTATAACTGTAATTTCCGAGTTTTATATGATTTGGCATCACCTTCAGAATCTGATATCCAATATTTGTTAGTATTTTGATATTTATAACCACCAGTTTTGTTTTATTTCTTTTAGTGAGTGCAAATGAGGACTGCTTGTGGTACGTGGACAAAAATGGCACCTGGCACAATGGCTTTGACTGCCCGCTCATAACCTTCTGCTGTGGGAACTGTCACCGCCGTTACTGCTGCCTGGATGGCTTCAAGATGATCACCGAGGCGGGACAGAAGCGCTGCATGCTGTTCCATCTCAGGTACACTTTTTAAGATTCTAGATTATTGACCACTTAGTGGCCTAGAGAGGCTCATTAACCTCACATTAGACTACTATATAAATAAAACTCATTTGTTTTTAAAGATAGCTGAGCAAAAGTATGACTGTTATAAAAGAAGTGCTAATCTTAATGGTAAAGGTGCTAATTGCTAGACCTAACAGAAAGTGTTTTATTTTACATTTATTCATTTAGCAGACGTTTTTTTCCAAGTTGATTTTTCTGTGAGTTGCTCCCAGAGAAGTCAGATCATTCAGAATTGGTGCTGGATAAGATCAGTGAAGTTTTCTGTCCTGCCTCTCTCAGCCCTTCCACTATAGCTGGCATTGCTTCATCGATCCTGCTCTTTGTGGCTGCTATAGCAACCATGGTCTGTTGCTTCATGTGTTCCTGTTGTTACCTGTACCAGCGTCGCCAGCAACGTGGCAGAACTCCTTATGAAGGTAAATGCAATTACTTTATTCTCTTCACAGTCCACTGTGAATTTACTACAAATACATATGAATGAATTCAAAATAAACAAAGAAAAAATCTGTATTATATGTAATATTTAGCATGTATTTGAATGTATTTTTTCGTTTTGCTGTTGGATTGTTGTTATTGCATGATATACAACAACTATATCATAAGTACATCCAATCTTACCTGGATATATACAGTACACTCACATAAAGCTGGATATGATATCAAGCAAAACTGGAAAAGGAAAAGGAAACTGTTTTATATTACATCAATATACTTAAAGTTGGATATATAAAATGTAAAGTGTATTATTGAACAGCTCTATTTGTAAATTTGAATAGTCCAACTTTTTCCATATACATACAGTGCACTCACATTATATACTATATAGCAAATCAAAACTGCTTGATTGTTCATATCATGCAACTATATTATCGCCCAGTTCTAATCTGCTAAATGTGGCTATAAGGCATGAAGTTAATAAGAATTGTCATGTTTTTCTATTGGATATATACAGTACACTCACATAAAGCTGGATATGATATCAAGCAAAACTGGAAAAGGAAAAGGAAACTGTTTTATATTACATCAATATACTTAAAGTTGGATATATAAAATGTAAAGTGTATTATTGAACAGCTCTATTTGTAAAGTTGAATAGTCCAACTTTTTCCATATACATACAGTGCACTCACATTATATACTATATAGCAAATCAAAACTGCTTGATTGTTCATATCATGCAACTATATTATCGCCCAGTTCTAATCTGCTAAATGTGGCTATAAGGCATGAAGTTAATAAGAATTGTCATGTTTTTCTAAAACAATGTGTATTGTTAAAGCATTATATAAATAAATTTGACTTGACTTATTTCTCTTTCTAGTATTACAGTTGCATTGCTCTTTGTTAGCATGCTTATTTAACCACTGGCTTTCTATTGCAATACCATGGCTGATGTTCAAAATGCTTGTTTGCATGAACTTATTCTTACAAAGAATAAAAATCATCACCTACTAACGCAAGTCTCAATTTTTTAGCCCAGCATATTCCAATGGCCAGCTATCCTGTGGAGCACATGTACGATGCTTCTGGTAAACCCATTGGACATCCTGATTATCCTGGATATCCAATGGTGCCGCAATATCCAGGTGTCCCCCACCATTATCCTATGATGCCCCAGGGTCCTTATCCTCCTGACGCAGGATACAGTCAAGCAGGTATTCAAATGGCCTCTGTCAGAGATCACATACTACACTCTTAAAAACAAAGGTAGCAAAAGGGGGTTTCACAGTAATTCAATAGAAGAGCTTTTTGGGGTTTCCCAAGGAAGCTTTCAGCGAGCAGATCTTAAAAGAACCATTTTTTCTTAGTGTCAGGATCATTTTAATAATCTGAAGTTCCCTTTTCCACATTAAAGGATTAGTTAACTTCCAGAATAAAAATGTCCTGGTAATTTACTCACCCCCATGTCATCCAAGTTGTTCATGTCTTTCTTTATTCAGTTGAAAAGAAATTAAGGTTTTTGAGGAAAACATTCCAGGATTGTTCTCCATATAGTGGACTTCAATGGGACCCAATGGGTTGAAGGTTAAAATTGCAGTGTCATTGCAGCTTCAAAAGGGCTCCACACTATCCCAGCCAAAGAGTAACGTTCTTATCTAGTGAAACGATCGGTCATTTTCTAAAAAATCTATTAAAATGTATATACTTTTTAACCACAAATGCTGGTCTTGCACTAGCTCGACTTCATGCATTACGTAGCTACATTGGAAAGGTCTCGCGTGACTTAGGCAGAAGTACCGACCCAGTGTTTACAAAGCAAACATGCAAAGAAAGTCAAATGCGCAAAACTATGCGCAAGTGCACCTAGGGCAAAAGCTGCTTTAAACGCAAAGGATGGTCACACCAAATGTTGATTTAATTTAGTTAATAGAAGTTAATTGATAAAGAAAATCAATTTGACATTATTTTTGACAGCATCCTCATTTACAGCATTTTTACACAGGTGCCTAAAACTTTTAACAGTACTGTAACTTTGCAGGTAGGTTTCTTGAAGCATCTTGAAAACGTTGCCACAGTTCTTCTGGATTTAATCTGTCTCAGTTTGTTCTGTTAAGACCCTTATTCCTCGGCTGGGAACATGTAGAGCCCTTTGAAGCTGCATTGGAACCCGTTGGGTCCCACTGAAGTCCACTATATGGAGAAAAATCTTGGAATGTTTTCCTCAAAAACCTTAATTTATTTTTGTCTGTAGAAAGAAAGACATGAACATCTTGGATGACGTGGGGGTGAGTAAATCATCAGGAAATTTTTATTCCAGAAGTGAACTAATCCTTTAAAGAACCTTTCGTGCAATGGAACGGTTTCATGGATGTTGTAAGTTCTTCATGGAACCATCAATACAAATTTAATAATGCTGTCAAACGATTAATCGCGATTAATCGCATACAAATTAAAAGTTTTTGTTTACATAATATATGTGTGTGTTCTGTGTATATTTATTATGTATATATAAATACACACACATACAGTATGCATTTTAAAAATATTTACATGTATTTACATGTCTATATTTATATTTTGGATGTGATTAATCGCGATTAATCGTTCAGCAGCACTAATTTTTAAGAGTGTGTAGTGGAAATAAAAACACTACACTTGCATATAATAGCACAGACAATCAATGTGTTATTTTTGTTTTCAGCTCCTCCGCCATATTCCCCTCCCCAGTACCCAGGGCACTGAAAGAGCTGAAGTCCCTCAGCGAGGAGAAGGTAACCCATAGAATGGGTGATGAAGAGGGCCCATGCTTGTGTGGAATCCCTTGTATGAGAAACCGTTTAAAAAATGATTTATGTTATTTATTTCTTGATTAATTTGTGGAGTGAAGCATGAACTGACCTCAGAATCGCCTCACGCGTCGGAGTGTTTTCTTGTTTGTACAGCTTTCATGTGTCACTAATCAGCGAGACTCCTCCCACTTTAATCCAGCAACTCACAGACTCAAAAGACTGCTTTAAACGTGCCATTATGTTTTGTCAAACTCTCCAAAATGGATTGTTAAATATGACTTTCCTGCAGAAGGGACTGACTGCCAGTTCTGACTCATCCAGGATGTCGTTCTCTGTTCAACCAAATAAGAAGCTTGTGTCATTTGCACTTTATTCTGCAATAGACATGCTTAGCTGTCTCTCCCCGTTTGTTTGTTCAAAATGTATTTATTTGAGCATGTCACTTGCATCATTAACATCAATTCATGCTGTACGCTTTTCATGTCTTATAGACAGCTAACATGTGGACATGAAACGTAGATGTTATATAGACAGTTAACATGCAGTATGTAAATAAGAGAGAACTTACATTAGGAAAGAATTTCATGTTTCATAGCATCCAACCAAACTTCATTCTGTGCATTTAAAGGTCGTCAACTCTCGTTAGATCTGGCTTGAGGTTGAGCTGTAATGTTAGATTTGCATGTCTTTAATTGTATCTCATGCTATAGGCCAGTTGTCAAGGGAATCACAAAAATGTGTGCATTCGGTTAGCTGTCCGTCTGTGCATTTTTATTTGTTTCAAAAAGCTTTCAAAGTAATTTATGTTGTTTTGTTACCTACAGTAAGACAAGTTTAAACAATTCCCTTTAGTTTCCCTACAAGTTCTGAAAAAAAGTCTGAATAGTGAGATGTAAACTCAGAATTCAGGGAAAAATTCATAATTGCAATGTCACAATGGTGTGGTCATATTTACCACTGTTTAGCAAAATTTTGCAGGCAATATTTTCAGTATGAATCCACGCATTCAGGAATTTCTCATGCGGGCGTAAGATTTTCTAATGCCGATTTCACATTGGGTTCATTGGTCATGCAAATTTGCAGTGTTGACCAATGGAAAGCTTCTTGATTTGAAAGTGACTTCTGTGTGAGCTGTGCTTCATACAACACTATTGACAACAGACTATGGACCATTTTTGCCTGCAAATTTTTGCCAGAATTTCACTAATGTGACTGCACATTAAAGCGGGACTTCCATTGCCGCCATATTGAATGTTCCAATTTTTCGCATTCATAAGCATGAGTGGACCATCGTAAATTAATTTCGAAGTTCATCATAAATGACATTTTTCAATGATAAATTAGAATGTAAATTAAAAGAATTAGATTCTCATTAAATTGTGTATCAGCTTAAAATAATTCACCAGTTACATTTGAGGTGCGATTTTTGATTTAAAATGATTTCTGCTACCTCCTCATCTCACATTTGTAAGATTAGTTGTGATGCTTTTTGTCCACAGTTTAAATAACTTGTTAGTTATTTAAATTAATGTATAGTTAACAGTGTTGTTTTTGCGATATAAACAGCATATGCTACTGTATTTGTCACTTTGGAATGTAAAGTACAAATAAGAAAAGGATCTATAAAGAGGAATTTTTACAATGTGGAATATTAACAGGTATTTTCAACTTGGGAAAAAAAGGTGATTAATAGGCTACTAGTGTTTGAACTTGCACTAATCATCCTATAAGAGAGGTCTAATTGAAGGAGTATTGCATAATTCTCTTTTTACAATAAAAACAGATTTGACTTTGCATGCCGTCTCCATTAATGCTGTACCTGAAATCAACATTGGCCTACTGTCATTATTTATGCCGCCTTATTTTTGCCCAGCATGAATTTGTAATATATCACAAATATTTTTACATACCACAAAATGACTGTAGTGTTTTCTGAACAGTTAATGATAGCTAGGCTATTAAAAAATAGGCTTAAAGGGGTCATATGATGCGATTTAAATTTTTCCTTTCTCTTTGAAGTGATACAAGCTCTTGGTGCATAAAGAATATCTGTAAAGTTGCAAAGACTAAAGTCTCAAATCCAAAGAGATATTCTTTATAAAAGTTAAGAGTCAACCACGCCTACCTAAAACGGCTCGTTCTAACACGCCCCCACATATCTACGTCACAATGTGGGAAGATTTGCATAACGCCGCCCAAATGTTCACGCAAAGAAAGAAGGCATAACTTTTATTCTCGCTGTAGTATTGTTGCTGCCGCCATGTCATGAGACGCTGTGTGTTTCGTTGTGAAAACAAAACTACTTTGTTTGACCTTCCAAAAGAGGACGATATCCGCTTCGTCATGCCTAGAGCTGATCCGTGCTGGTCGCTGAGGGAATACATCAACATCGCGCTGTGGATCGCCAGATCGGCTTTAACCGTGGACGAAGCGGAGTCCTCGTCACATGTGGTTGCCGCAAGCCCACCGGACGCTCCTTCGTCGAATCCGCCGCTACAAACAGGAGAAATAACCCTAAGATACATCTAATGGAGACATATCTATCTTTGGATGTTAAAAGTCTCTTGAAATGTTGGCCCGGTTGAAGTTCCTTGGTTGATTGCTCCTTTGCTCACTGCCTTTTAAGGATAAGTCTGCCAAGGCTGGAGCTTTCCAGTGCAAAACAGTGTGGCTCACAAATCAAACACTCGGCCACTGTGCAAGTTAACATCTTCACTATAAAACAACCGACTGTGCATAGTGTAAACATCCAGTGTTCATGCACTACAGATTGTATTTAACCATCTGTCGAAGCACAGGCTTCATTTGAACATTTTAATGTTGATATGTAGGCTTAAGCCACTGGCATTTCCTCCAGTTGGCTCCTCTAAAACAAAAAATATATATATAACATTTGTTGCATATGTTACCTTGTTTGTCCATAATTCATTCATGTTTGATCCTCAGGGAGAGCCGAAGAAGGAGAGCCGGAAGCAAGAGTACCTGCGTAAGATGGGCCTGAGCCAAGAGAAGAATACCTCCGCATCTGATAGCAAAGATGGAGGACTTCAGAGGACCCCCTCCACCTCTTCCTTCTCTAAATGTGATGCTAGAATAGAGGACAGGACCCGCAGAGTCACAGAGGGCAGCAAAGATGACCAATTTGGCCCATCTGCCCTTTCTAGGAAGGATGAAGAGAGTGAGAAGAAAGTAGAGGTGAAGGATCAAAATGATAGGAGTAAATTCAAAGATAGAAGAGAGATGAGAGAAAGTAGTAGCAGCAAAACCAGAGAATTAATATCCAAGCTTCAGGAGAAGAAAGAGGATAGTAAAGAGAAAAATAGAAAGGAAGACAGTTGGAAAAGGGACTCTGGGGAAAGTAGAGCGAAGGAGATGATTTCTAGGATAAAGGAGAAAGAGGAGAAGGAAAGGGAGAGAAAGGTAGAGATTAGGAAGAGAGAGGAAAACAAAACTAGAGGCTATTCGTCCAGATTAGAGGAAAAACAAAATCAGGTTCTAGAAGATCAAGTGAAAGAAGAGAAGAAGGACAATGAAGAAAACAAAATAAGAAGGTTAAGTGAAAAGGTGAAAGAGAGCCCCTTGTTGGAAGTAAAGAAACTTCCTGAAAATACAGAGAAAGAACCCGAAAAAGCTGTGATGAAGACACAAGAATTCAATGAAAAATCAATAATCGATAAGGGAACAGGGGATTTTCAGAAACAAAATGAAATTGTAAACGAAGTTCATGAACCCATTAAGGAAGAGAAAACTGGAAACTGTGTCTCAGACACTATTTCAAAAAGTAAGACAAAAGAGGAGGAAGAGGAGGATGAGTCAGCCAGCATGTTTGATGAATATCTGGAGAGAGTTCGTCGCAACGATCCAAGCATGACTGACCTCAACGTGAACAATTCTGAGGTCATAAAAACCAAAACGCTTATTCAGTTCTCAGAGGCCCTAAAAACCAACACACACATCAAAATGTTTTCTTTGGCTAACTGCCAAGCCGATGACCATGTGGCTTATGCTATTGCAGAGACCTTGCGCAATAACAAAAGCATCACTAGCATCAATTTGGACTCCAATCTTCTTACTAGCAAAGGCGTTATGGCCTTGATCCATGCCCTCCAACACAACTCCACCCTCACTGAGTTACGCTTCCACAACCAGCGACACATCATCGGAGGAAAGTCCGAGATGGAGATGACCAAAATCTTGAAAGAAAACAAAACTCTTCTGAAATTGGGCTACCACTTTGAGTTAGCTGGGCCTCGTATGACCATGACCAATATTCTGAGTCGCAATATGGACCGTCAGCGGCAAAAGCGGCTGCAGGAACAGAAGCAGGCTCAAGCCCAAGGCACTGGAGACAAGAGAGACTCATTAGAAGTTCCAAAACCTGGCTTTGGTAAAAGCTCCCCGAGAGCTTCGCCCAGGCCGTCTCCTATACCTTCTCCCATACCGTCACCCGCCCCGTCGCCCAAGTTGACTCATAAGAAAAGGGTCAGTGGGCTTCGTGGTGGACCACCTCCTCCACCACCACCACCTGGAGGACCACCACCACCTCCGCCTCCAATGCTAGATGGAGATTTCCTGAAGAACTCCCTGACACCCGTGTCACAAAGGAAGCTAGACGGTAGGAGTAGTGGAAGAGGAGGAGCTCAAAACTCAAGGGACCAACTTCTGGCTTCCATTAGAGACAGCAATATCAAACAGCTCAAAAAGGTAGGAAATAATTGATATATATATATATATATATATATAAATCTACAATATTGCAAGTTACATTTTTGGAATTATCCTAAAACATTACCATGGACTCATTGGGAATTTGGGTCTCGTATTCAGAGCTTTTTCCCTGAGAAAATGTTGGACATTTTAACTCACCATTAATCATTTTTTTCACAGGTTGCATTACCAAAGCTCTTGCAATAATCCAGCAATGCAGAGAGATAGTTATGGGTGAAGAAAAAGACAGGAATGAAAGGACAGACATCTCACAGACCTTGAGAAGATCATTACTCAGAATCTTCCATACAGAGTCTTACTACTGCCCTATAGTATGGAAGACATGCAAGGACTCGTATATAATTGAATGCACAACTTCTACCCAGGAGTCTTTGTACAAAATACACTGGACGATAGAAAGAAATGAAAGTGTTGGGCAGTCATGGGTGCTCAGAGTCTTCAGTGGCCTATGGAATGGCGGGGTTGATTCCTTGCTTGTAATTTGCACTAAATTAATCATTTCATATGATAGATTTACAACAGTATGTGTGGATGTTCAGAAGATGTTTGTTTCTGCAGTAGAATTGGATCTTCTTACAGCTGACTGAATTGAGCTATGTAAGAAACAATAATTGTCTGTATTTTATCCTAGTTATTTTGGGTTTGGGAATCTCTATAGTAAAAGCTCTTGCTGATCAGGGAATAAAGGTGGGATTCTAAACAATCACAAATAAAGGTATAGTTTCCATGGTACTACAGATTTTTTAATACCTTGTTTTGAATGATCGAGTGTGAAAGAGAACAGGATTACAGCATTCAAGAGAAAGCGATGGATAATCAGATCTATGTGAATATGACTGCCTAAACATACAATATTTATTTTGATCTGAGTTTTCCTTTAACATTGTATGTAATCCTTTGAGTATATAAATGTTGATCACTGTCAAGTGTAATTTTTACCATCCATTTGTAATTTATCCAAAAAAAAAACTTAAAAATGTAGCAAGTTTTTACTTTGGGAATGGAAGCAAACTCTGCACAAAAAAGGGTAATGTACCTTACATGCTTTGAAGACAATATATTTTCATGCTTGTATGAAAGTCTCTTCAAGAGCACATCCAGTGAAGGCTACATGTATTCTTAATGAAAATAAACAGTATGAAACATAAATTCACAAATCTTATTTCAGGTTTCAATGTGGGAAATCAAGTTGAGTAATTCAATGTGTGTTATTTAGAAAATAAAATTTGTTTTGGACGAATCTGACGGATAAAGATATGATTGGTCCAACAAACACACCTGGTCATGTGATTTTACTTTATTGTTTTCAGGTCATTGTCAGAAAAATATCAGAACCCTCTTCATGTGTGTTTCATCATTTTATTTTATTTCAGTTTTATTTCATACCTGAAAGTAGTTTTAGTTGTAGTTATCACTGGTGTGTTTACATCAAGACAAACTCCACCCAAAAATGAAAATTCTGTCATATTTTCTTATATGCTCCACTGATGAAAGAACTAGTTTTGTAATGAGTAAATGATGGAGTGAGTAAATGATGACTATTCCATAGTCATATAACCTAAAACAATACTAAGTAACTGAATTAATCTTTTTAGTTTCCTAGTCATTTTATGAGGATATAAAACGCAGTAAAAGTTTTAGAGATCAGAACCATAGATAGAATTAATGATTCTGGTGTTAGTGAATAGCTCTTCACATGATCACACAGATCCTAATAAAGGGCTGTAGCACGCTTCCAGAGCTACAATGAGTTCCTAGAAAAGTCAGTGATCTAATGCATTGTTGCAAATGCCACGTAATTCTGCTTAGCTCATTTGTTCACTAGAATAAAGAACTATACATGAAGGCTATGTAGGACACAGGAACACACTTTTTATCGTTAAGGCCACTTGTGAGGTAACACTGCAAATTACATCCAACTGGGTCACAGGTTAAACATTTAAAAATATTTTCTTGTAGAATTATACTCTTCAAATTTATAGCAGATGCTTATTGCAATGTATAGATTACTTCATAGATTAACTTCATAACTGCTGGATTGCAAAGGTCTGTTCATCCTTTTCAGAGCCTTTTAGAAGGGAACTTCTCCTTC